AAATGCCCAAATGGTGTTTGCATCTAATAAGATATAATCACTGTTCAGCCAAGTATTTTACACCCAAATTGTTTGGTTTTTAATCGACTTTTGTCAAGCTGAGTGGTGCCAACGTCCTGAAATTCTCATGATTCCGCAGGAATCAGTTGAAATTTGAGCCGTGTATGGCTAGCTTAAAGCTTTTGAGCATAGCGTGTATAATAAATGCAGAAAAATACAAGGAATCTTGCAGAAAAAACTGATCCAGTTTGCAAGAAATGTTTGTCTTTGAAGATTTATCTTCTAGCAGTACAATGACCTCGCACATAAAGCCAAAACTGTGCACAAGCATAGCTTGAAAACAATAATGTTAATGCACTGGCGTCGTCAAGTCAAGCTGTTAATTCAAACTGTCACAAAAATTATTAATAGACACGTATTGGGAGTTTTTTTTTTTTTTTTTTACCAAAAATATGTAGCAGAATACATTATGGCCAAATTTATGACTAACTTTGAGTTTATTGGATGACCAAAAGTAAAATTTGGGCCATAATGTATTCTGCTACATGTTTTTGGTAAAAAAAAAAATCCCAATACGTGTATATTAATAGTTTTTGTGACAGTTATAGCGTCTACAAACTATACACTTTATTCCCAAAGTAAAATCAAGCACCTAGGCATGCAGACTTCTTCTACAAACATTTGTGACAGAATGGGTCGCTCTCAGGAGCTAATTGAATTTAAGCGTGGTACTGTGATAAGCTGCCACCTATGCAATACGTCCATCCGTGAAATTTACTTGCTACTAAATATTCCATGGTCAACTGTTAGTGATATTAAAACAAAGTGGAAGCAACTGGGAACAACAGCAACTCAGCCATGAAGTGGTAGGCCACGTAAAATGACAGAGCGGGGTCAGCGAATGCTGAAGTCCACAGTGCACTTAAGTTGCCAACCTGTCAGCAATAGCTAAAGACCTCTAAACTTCGTGTGGCCTTCTGATTAGCACAACAGTGCATAGAGAGCTTCATAGAATGGGTTTCCATGGCCAAGCAGCTGCATCCAAGCCATCACTAAGTGCAAGGCAAAGCGTCGTATGCAGTGGTGTAAAGCAAGCCGCCACTGGACTCTAGAGCAGTGGAGAAATGTTCTGTAGGGTGACGAATCATGCTTCTCTGTGTGGCAATCTAATGGACGTATCTAGGTTTGGTGGTTGCCAGGAGAACGGTACTTGAATGTCTGCATTGTGCCAAGTGTAAAGTTTGGTGGAAGAGGATTATGGTGTGGGGTTGTTTTTCAGAGGTTGGGCTTGGCTCTCTAGTTCCATTGAAGGGAGCTCTTAAGGCTTCTGCATACCAAGATATTTTGGACAATTTCATGCTCCCAACTTTGTCGGAACAGTTTGGAGATGGCCCCTTCTTGTTCTAACATGACTGCGCACCAGTGCACAAAGCAAGATCCATAAAGACATGGATGAGTGAGTTTGGGGTGGAGGAACTTGACTGGCCTGCACAAAGTCCTGACCTCAACCTGATAGAACACCTTTGGGATGAACTTTGGGAGACTGCGAGCCAGGCCTTCTCATCCAACATTAGGGCCTGATCCTACAAATGAGCTTCCTAGAAGAGTAGAAGCTGTTATAGCTGCAAAGGGTGGACCAACTCAATATAGAACCCTACAGACTAAGACTGGGATGCCATTAAAGTTCATGTGTGTATAAAGGCAGGCGTCCCAGTACTTTTGGCAATATAATGTATATTGGAATTTACACAGCTTTTATTTTGACTGCCTATCACATTTCTTGAGGTACTAAAATGCCAGGGCAACCCCCCCATGCCATGGATATATGTGGAATAACACCCCAAAACTCATTCTGCTACTTCTCCCGAGTATGGGGATACCACATGTGAGAGACTTTTTGGCAGCCTAGCTACATACAGGCCCCCAAAATCTTATAGCCACCTCCAGGCTTTCAAAGGGCATATTTTCTCATGTCCTCACTATCTATCACAGTTTCAGAGGCCAAAAATTCCAGGATAGTACAAACACCTACACAGATTACCCCTTTTTGGAAAGTAGAATTTAGCAGATATTTTTGTCACTGGGTTTTGAAAAAGAAAAAAAACATTTGTTTTTTTCTTTCTTTGTTTTCCGAAAACTTGTGACAACAAATGAGATCTGCAAAATACTCACCATGCCCCTTAGCAAATACCTTGGAGTGTCTACTTTCCAAAAAGCGGTCATTTGGGGAGTGGGGGGGGGGGGGGGGGGGGCAACTTTAGAAGCTTATGCCACACTCAAAGTTTTTTTGCTAGTAATTTTTTTTTGTCACACAGTATTTGCGCAGTAATTTTTCAAACACTAATGTTTTGGAGAAAATACACTTTTTTTGAATTTTATTGCACAAAAACACAATGTATTGCCCGGGATAAAAGATGATGTTACGCCAAGTAAATGGATACCAAACATGACCTGCTTTAAAAATCTCATTTACACCCCAACTCTCCTCAAAGGAAAATGATCAGAAATGGTAACTACAGTCCGGTCCATAAATATTGGGACATCGACACAATTCTAACATTTTTGGCTCTATACACCACCACTATGGATTTGAAATGAAACGAACAAGATGTGCTTTAACTGCAGACTGTCAGCTTTAATTTGGTATTTACATCCAAATCAGGTGAACGGTGTAGAAATTACAACAGTTTGCATATGTGCCTCCCACTTGTTAAGGGACCAAAAATAATGGGACAGAATAATCATCATAAATCAAACTTTCACTTTTTAATACTTGGTTGCAAATCCTTTGCAGTCAATTACAGCCTGAAGTCTGGAACCCATAGACATCACCAGATGCTGGGTTTCATCCCTGGTGATGCTCTGCCAGGCCTCTACTGCAACTGTCTTCAGTTCCTGCTTGTTCTTGGGGCATTTTCCCTTCAGTTTTGTCTTCAGCAAGTGAAATGCATGCTCAATCGGATTCAGGTCAGGTGATTGACTTGGCCATTGCATAACATTCCACTTCTTTCCCTTAAAAAACTCTTTGGTTGCTTTTGCAGTATGCTTTAGGTCATTGTCCATCTGCACTGTGAAGCGGCGTCCAATGAGCATTTGGCTGAATATGAGCAGATAATATTGCCCGAAACACTTCAGAATTCATCCTGCTGCTTTTGTCAGCAGTCACATCATCAATAAATACAAGAGAACCAGTTCCATTGGCAGCCATACATGCCCATGCCATGACACTACCACCACCATGCTTCACTGATGAGCTGGTATGCTTAGGATCTTGAGCAGTTCCTTTCCTTCTCCATACTCTTCTCTTCCCATCACTCTGGTACAAGTTGATCTTGGTCTCATCTGTCCATAGGATGTTGTTCCAGAACTGTGAAGGCTTTTTTAGATGTCGTTTGGCAAACTCTAATCTGGCCTTCCTGTTTTTGAGGCTCACCAATGGTTTACATCTTGTGGTGAACCCTCTGTATTCACTCTGGTGAAGTCTTCTCTTGACTGTTGACTTTGACACACATACACCTACCTCCTGGAGAGTGTTCTTGATCTGGCCAACTGTTGTGAAGGGTGTTTTCTTCACCAGGGAAAGAATTCTTTGGTCATCCACCACAGTTGTTTTCTGTGGTCTTCCAGGTCTTTTGGTGTTGCTGAGCTCACCGGTGCGTTCCTTCTTTTTAAGAATGTTCCAAACAGTTGTTTTGGCCACGCCTAATGTTTTTGCTATCTCTCTGATGGGTTTGTTTTGTTTTTTCAGCCTAATGATGGCTTGCTTCACTGATAGTGACAGCTCTTTGGATCTCATCTTGAGAGTTGACAGCAACAGATTCCAAATGCAAATAGCACACTTGAAATGAATTCTGGACCTTTTTTCTGCTCATTGTAATTGGAATAATGAGGGAATAACACACACCTGGCCATGGAACAGCTGAGAAGCCAATTGTCCCATTACTTTTGGTCCCTTAACAAGTGGGAGGCACTTATGCAAACTGTTTAATTCCTACACCGTTCACCTGATTTGGATGTAAATAACCTATAATTAAAGCTGACAGTCTGCAGTTAAAGCACATCTTGTTCGTTTCATTTCAAATCCATTGTGGTGGTGTATAGAGCCAAAAATGTTAGAATTGTGTAGATGTCCCAAAATTTATGGACCTGACTGTATATGGTAGAGCAGAAAACTGCTCTCAGTGTTGCAGCTGCACTACACCATAATAAAAACGCAGAAAGGAACACAATCATACATAACTAAAATTTTGCAATTTCATGGTGTTAAAATAGCACTTATGTCAAGCACTGAAATTGTTCCCCTATACAAACATCTGACACCCATATTTTAGATAACTTCAGCATATCTGCTAATAAAATGCAAGTCAAACTCATTATTTTAATTAACAACATATCCATAATACCTGTATTCCAGTAGGTATTATATAGCAGAGGATGCACAAACATTCATACACATTAGAGAAAGATAATGGACCAGCAAAAATGGAAAGGCAGTGAATGGGGAAGAGAAGCTGTAAAGAAAAATCAGAGATTTGAGAGCAATGAGGAGCAAAGAAGCCATGCAGAAAATACAAAAATGGAGAGGCAGCAGAGAAAAGAAGGACAGTGGGGAGACAAGACAACTATGGGCTAGAGTAACTGTGTAATGGAGAGTAACATGCAGCACAAAGACACAAGCACTGAAAAAAAGCATATGATAGTGACTGGGGATGAATTAGAGGAGAGATGGTTTCAGGGAGGAGGAAGTGGGAGAAATTAACGTTTTGAGTGTGAAAATCTCCAGCAAATGAGACTAGGACAATCTGGAGACTGTTCACTTTATTTGTGAAGTAAAAATCAAGCAGAAGGCTGATAAAAAGGCTGATTGTGTTAACTATAATCATAACAGCTAATTTTGAAATGACCAATATTTCAGTCATAGTTTTTTTTTTAATTTTTTATGTCTTTAATGCCTGTTGAAACATCTGATAACATTTGTGTTAATAAACACTTTATTGCAGGTTCTGTGGACTCCAGAGGTGGTAGAGAATGGTGTCAAATTCTCTTACACAAGTGGCGATGGAGAGGAAGGATATCCTGGAGAGTTAAAAATCTGGGTGACTTATACACTTGTTGGTAATGAACTGGCTGTAAATTATAAGGCGAAGACCAGTAAGACCACACCTGTAAATTTAACAAATCACTCCTATTTCAATTTGGCAGGACAGGTAAGAAAATTTCAATATGCAGTCACGTGTATCAACTTGTACATGAAAAAAAAAAGTTTCACTTTCTTAACATACAGTAAATTAATCAAAACCTGATTGTTTTTAATGTACATATCTGATAGTCTTTATAAACGTGTGTGCAGCAAAATTATACATTGTTTGGAAGGACTTCCATGTTCTTTTAACTTGCTTAGATACTAAATAGCAACCCACAATATTTTGTGGTCTCTAGAAAAGGATTTTCAGTATTTCAAAACTTCTGTGTAATGGTATGTAGAGTCAAAACTTTTTTTAGTATTGGATACAGTAGGGAAGGGATAAACCCTTATCAGGTTATTTTTTTTTTCTCTGCCTATGTCCCACTAGGGAAGTTACTTTTCACTTCACATCCATGGGATGCATAGTGAATGGAGCTCCCATCTTTGAGAGTTGTCATAATAATAAGTGTCCCCATAAGAGGATTATAACCAAAAAAGTCGAGTATCTGGCTGCTCATCCCTATAGAAATGCATATACCCAAAGAACCCCCAGTGGGACTTTAATGCAGCAAATTGGATCATACATATATTGAAAGACATTTTGTTAAGAGATTTTTATCAACTTTATTACATACACATTTCCATTGTAATCATAAATACATAGTTTCTAAAAAGAATATTGCTCTGACAGTGCTCTTAATACAAGAATATGAAACAACACAGAAAAAGAAAGAAAATACCCCAAGTACCCATAATAGGATTTTCCCTTTTTTGTTATGCAGATTACATGAAAGTTTGGATTATTCATGTTTCTGCTCTGTAACAATGGTCACCAATAAAAATAAAGTAATGAATCTCCCCAGAGGGGAATCAGAAGGCAATATAAACTTGACAAAGGGTCTAATCGTTACCTACTGTATGCAAAGAATTTAAAGATATATATTCCATTGATATACAGTGACACAAACTATTTGAGCCATTTAGCTATAAAAAGGTGGTTTAAAGCCAAAAACGTATTTTTATCATACAGTACAGAACACAGGAATCAGTTATTTGACTATGGGTTATACAGTATGCTGCTACATTCAGGTGATTGGACACTGGCAAACAGCTTCACTGGATAGACTCACTAGTATTCTTATATAACCCCACTGACTCTGTGAGGCTTCAGTTTTTGCTAGTGTTCTTGGGTGATGGACCCCTTCTCCTCTTGGAGAAGCGTTTACTACTACCCGTGTTTCCCCGAAAATAAGACACTGTCTTATATTTTTTTTGGTTCAAAAAAACACACTAGGTCTTATTTTCGGGGTAGGTCTTATTTTTTAAATGTCCAGGTGTGGACAGGGGGTGCAGAGGTGAGCTGCAGGCAGTCGTGGATGAGGGTTACTATGGAGAGGGCCGGTTGATGACAGTTGTGAGCTGCAGTCAGGTGTTGCAGAGGTGACTTGACAGGTGAGTTTCAGACAGGGTGCAGATTTGAGCCACAGACAGGGTGCAGCAGGTGAGTTGTGTGATGGGGAATGCAGAGGTGAGCTGTGGCCAGGGGGTGCAGAGCTGAGCCGTGGCTGGGGGGGTGCAAAGGTGGGTTGCAACTCAGCTCACCTCTGCACCACCCCAGACGCAGCTCACCTATGCACCCTGTCTGCAACTCACCTAACTCAATTTACCTCTGCAACACCTGACTGCAGCTCACCTTTGCACATCCCCCCTTCCCCCTCCACTGCCCTTATATGGTTAGCTAGCTTGCAAAACACAGCTGTCAGCAGCCGGCCCCTCTTTATAGTAACTCCCATTTTCGGGTCCTATCTTCCCACACAGTGCACCAAGCGCACTTACTCACTGCTCTGCCTCTTCCCCACTGGCTGGTGATCACCCCTGGGGCATTGGCTTCCATGCATTAGGCTGCAGGAGGAGATGCCCCACCCCTAAACACACTGCATTCTGCACCCTCAGATATCTGTTCCTTCCTTGTCCCACAGTGAGTACAGAGGTAGGGAGGTTCTGTGGGAGCGGATGGTGCTGTCACTTCAGCCGTGCTTCTGTGTTTATAAGAGACAGTAGATATGGGTGTGCGCAAGGCCAGTGCCGGAGGTGGCGGAATGGCGTTCCGGCTGAAAAAAAGCCCTGATCACAACTAGGTCTTATTTTTGGGGTAGGTCTTATACTTTAACAATTCCCAAAAATATCACTAGGTCTTATTTTAGGGTAGGTCTTATTTTAGGGGAAACTGTATATTTTCAACAGATTTAATTACCTCCTTCATCTGACACCTCTATTAAGATGTGACTGCTTCCTACCTTCATGTATTTTGAATTGGTGACCTTTTGAGCACACCTAAGAAACCACATCCATACCACACAGCTGTGGGTGCTGGCACTGAATCCTGCATTCAGTGCTCATTTTGGCATGTGATGCAACTAGTGTAGTGAGCAACAGGGTGCTATACAGGTCCAGGGCCATGATCCATTTTTATGGCGCCCAGACCCTTCTGAGGGTATGGCCACCATGACTCACAAAGCCTGGACCCTGGACATGGACAAGACTCTGTAGTATACAATACATCCTTATCCTACAAGATATACCACAGGGCTATACACACAAGAGGCTTTTAGGGCATAGGTGTACATGGACTAACACTCTTAATGTTTTCCTAACTTTATTGTCTCACTTTTTGGTTTTTAATGGGTCACTTTCTTACAACATCTACCAATCCAAAATTGGTGTTTTTTTTTCCCACTTCCCAACCAGAAGTTCAACTCCAGTTAGTGGTGTAGTGCTTATAGGACACTTAGCTGCACATTTCCAGCTGCCATTTTCTGTCAACAATGCAGACTGATCATTTGTCATACCACCTGTTACCTGATTCTGAAAAGAAACAGCCCTTGCAACTGGGTTAGCTCCTGGGATGCAGTAACTCCCTCATACTGGAAATGCTGAGCCCCCATAATCCACCTTCATTCTGTGAGTACCCCACAGGGAAAGACCCTCACTTAACAATGGAGGATTATGTGCCTGGGAGTGGAAAAACATGGGACAGACAGTGGTTTATCTGCTGCAGGCCCTGATAAAACTTGTCTGAATCATCAAAAGAAAACCATTTTTTTCCAATGCGGATTCTTCTCTAAGACAACATAGGGTAATTCATTACTTTCTAGCTACCTGTCCCTAATACCCTCCACCTGAGGAGGTTAATTGCACAGTCTTAAGCCCTTACTACTTGTTTTGCCATGGTATGTCCCCCTTGGCCATCAGGCCTTGTCCATAGCTCCAACGCACTCTTTCTTAACCCTTCTACAGCTGCAATTTGCATGCTTGTCTATCCTAGACTAATGTGTCTAATCTGTCCTCTTGACTTTGGTGCAGGACCACTGTATTGTATTGTATTGAGAAAGTATGCAATCCCCCTTTTCCCTGGGTTTCTTGGGTGGTTTTTCTTCCCCTCTACTACTTATGGTCTATAGCAGCTTTCACACTGACCTATCTAGCTCAGCCTTCATCCTTAGCCTATGTGTGGCAGCCTGGCCAGGAGATTTCCTCTTACAAACCAGATATTTCTTATATTATTGCATTCCATCCTTACATTGGATGCCCCCCTTACATCTTCATTCAGCCATGTTGATTTACCCCCTACTCTGTAATCATCTGTAAATTGATTCCACTTAGTGTTCTAATAAGGAACTTCATCCTGAATTCCTTACTTGTTCCTCTTTCTGCGTTTCCTTTGGGCAGCCCTGCATAAAACATTTCAGTCAGGACCTTGTACACCTTCCCTTATTTCTCAAGACTTTGCACTCCTTGTGCAACTTTCTACTGCAGAGGTCTCTTTCTTGTCACCTGCAGGATCTCCTGGCAATTTTCATCTCAGAGTGGGGCTTTAAAGCGGTTACCTTATTTTAATACCCCCCAAAAAATTAACATCATGCAGCTAGGAGAGATGTAATTTCCATTAAATCAAGATAAAGACATTATTAGGACAGTACTAAATCAGATCTATATCTCCTATTGCACCATAGTCTTTAAACCTGCAATACAAAACAAATATAATCCTCTTACTGGAACTATGGTGATATTATACTGTTACACCTAACTGTGTGTAAGACGGTACTAAAACAGGTGTACAGCATTTACAACCATATTCTTTAGTTAGGCATTATATATTTTCTTTTCTTTTGTATATTATATTTGGGTTTATTAAGGTTGAATAGGTGAAAATATTGGAGAAAATTATTAACATATAACTTATTGCATTTGTGTTTGTAACGTCACTGCTATCTTTTAATCTTTAACTGCTGCATTTTTAAGGGTTCAGAAAATATATATGACCATGAAATTTCCATTGATGCTGAACACTACCTTCCTGTAGATGACACAATGATACCCACAGGTAATATTCTACTATTTACTCAAGACAATATGTTGTAAAGAAGGAAAGTAGACAAGGATAGTCACAAATACAGGAGAGCAAATAACGGAAAATCCAATCTGCCATTGATTTGGTGAAGTGGACCCATTATTTGCTGTGCTGGGTGGTATTCGTGAACTGGCAATACCTGGTACAAAGTGTTGTTTTACAGTTAAAATTCATTTTTAGTTAGTTAAAAATATGGTGGGGGCGGTCCTACCTGCTGAGCACAACAGGTGGGATAATTTTTGACATGGCATGTACACATGGCGATTGGGAGGTGGTAAAAAGTGTTGGAATACAGTGGTCATGCATTTTGTCCAACAACTACATCAGTATTCAGTAGAGATATATTCTTCAACCAGTAGATGGCAGTGTTTATAAGTTTGTAGCTGCATCTACAGTGCATCCAGAAAGTATGCACTACGCTTAACTTTTGCCACATTTTATGTAACAGCCTTATTCCAAATGGATTAAATTAATTTTTTTCCTCAACATTCTACAAACTATACCTCATAATGACAATGTGAAAGAAGTTCATTTTGAAATCTTAGCAATTTATTGAAAATAAAAAAACACACATGTACATAAGTATTCACAGCCTTTGCTCAATACTTTGTTGAAGCACCTTTAGCACCAATTACAGCCTCAAGTCATTTTGAGTATGATGCTACAAGCTTGGCACACCTATTTTTGGGCAATTTATCCCATTCTTCTTTGTAGTACCTCTCAAGCTCCATCAGGTTGGATGGGGAGCGTTGGTGCACAGCCATTTTCAGATCTCTCCAGAGATGTTCAATCAGGTTCAAGTCTAGGCTCTGGCTGGGCCACTCCAGGACATTGACAGAGTTGGCCCGTAGCCACTCCTTTGTTATGTGGGCTGTGTGCTTAGGGTCGTTGTCCTGTTGAAAGATGAACCATCACCCCAGTCTAAGGTCCAGAGCGCTCTGGAACAGGTTTTCATCAAGGATGTCTCTGTACATTGCTGCATTCATCTTTCCTTCGATCCTGACTAGCCTCCCAGTTCCTGCTGCTGAAAAACATCCCCACAGATGATGCTGTCACCACCACGCTTCACAGTAGGTATTGGTATTGGCCAGGTGGTGAGCGGTGCCTGGTTTCCTCCAGACATGACGCTTGGCATTCAGGCCAAACAGTTCAATCTTTGTTTCATCAGACCGGAGAGTTTTGTTTCTCATGGTTTGAAAGTCCCTCAGGTGCCTTTTGGCAAACTCCAGGCAGGCTGCCATTTGCTTTTTACTGAGGAGTTGCTTCCGTCTTACCACTCTACGATACAGGCCTAATTGGTGGAGTGCTGCAGAGATTGTTCTTCTGAAAGGTTCTCCTTTCTCCACAGAGAAATGCTGGAGCTCTTTCAGAGTGGCCATCGGGTGCTTGGTTACCTCCCTGGCTAAGGCCCTTCTCCCTCGATTGTTCATTTTGGCCGGGCGGCCCGCTGTAGGAAGATTCCTGGTGGTTCCAAACTTCTTCCATTTACGGATGATGGAGGTCACTGTGCTCATTGGGACCTTCAATGCAGCACAAAGTTTTCTGTACCCTTCCCCAGATCTGTGCCTTGATACAATCCTGTGTCGAAGGTCTACAGACAATTCCTTGAACTTCATGGCTTGGTTTGTGCTCTTACATGCACTGTTATTGTAAGACCTTATATAGACAGGTAAACCAGGAGAGGAATAGAGTAATCAGAATCAAACTGCCTTTTTACACAATGCAGAGGATTAACTCTTTAGATGTCACAGTGAGTATAACAAGCATGCTTTACTGCATATACAGGCTGATTTTACTGTTGTGGGTTTAGTAACACTTTTAATCAGCTGTTTGTGTAATGTGGTATTTTGTTTTTCAGGTCTATTCACACAAGCTGTTGAGGCTAGTATTGACTTGGTAGTACATCAGTTTGCTGGAATGCTGAAGCATGCCCTTATGTTTACTACCTGTTAGCTGAATGTGGTCAATATGAAATATTTATGTAGCACTACCACTACCCCCTTAGGAGTTTCTGCGTATTTGGGTCCCCCTATTATCCTGCACAGCCAGGCAACACGCAGCTTCGCACAGACTTGCATCCAGGATACAGTAACCAGTCCTTGAGAATTGTTATTGTAGGTTTTGTTAGGAGATTGAACTTGGATAGGGTAAGTGGTGTAAGGGATGCCCAAGGGTAATGGCAACAGAGGACAATCTTCCTGAACTATGTACAAGTCTCTGTAACTGCAAAGAACAGATCCTTGTTGGAGAGCTAGCTAGCATCTCCTGTTGTACCACCCCAGACCCTAGATACTCCTTTATCCAGCTGTACTGGGTGAATACTTGTACAGGGGATCAAGTGCCTGTCACTTTAAGAGAGGACAGTCCCGGGTAGTAGCTAATCCAGTTTCCCATCAGAGTGTCCCTTCCGTATACTGGCCCAAGGGGTGCAGGTCTACTCACTTAGTCCTTCTCCTATGAGCGGATAGGGTTGGTGGCTGCTACCAGGGTATCTAGCTGGGCCATTCCCTCCCATGCTGCATAGGTGGTCCTCGCTCTGGGGGGGCCGCTTAAGACCCAAGATTTCCTCCTTCCAAGCTTCCCTGCCTGGAGGCAAGCCCCTTTCCTTCTGGGCCCTCTCCCAGGCTCCTGATCTCCAGTCTCACTTCTCCATCTTCCACCAAAACTTTCCTGCTGCTAAGCAGGCTCAGTAAGGGCTGTCCTGGTCCCTTGCCAAGCCTCCTGTTGGGGATTGGCCAGGATCCCCTAAGAGGACAGACTAGCCATTCCTATCTTCCGCCCACTGCTCCAAGATCTTTCTCCAAAGTTCTAGTGCAAGGGAAAGTCTCAGAGCTAGTCTGCGGCGGCTCTCAGCTCTGACCTAAATTTGACTCTGCTAGCTATCACACCCAGGCTGCTACTCATCCCTCCTCACTAAGAATTGAACTCTAGTTCCCCCTAGCTGACCAGGAGGGTGCTACATTTATATTTAATATTTCATATTTTTTTACTTAAAAGACATTTAAGCACATACAGTGGTTATAAAAAGTCTACACACCCCTGTTAAAATGTCATATTTCTGTGATGTAAAAAAATGAGACAAAGATAAATCATTTCAGAGCTTTTTCCACCTTTTAATGTGACCTATAAACTGTACAACTCAATTGAAAAACAAACTGAAATCTTTTAGGAGGGGGGGAAGTAAAAATAAAAAAACTAAAATAATGTGGTTGCATAAGTGTGCACACCCACTTATAACTGGGGATGTAGCTGTCTTAAGAATTAAGCAATCACATTCAAAATCATGTTAACTAGGAGTCAGTACACACCTGCCATCATTTAAAGTTCCTCTGATTAACCCCAAATAACGTTCAGCTGTTCTAGTAGGTCTTTCCTGACATTTTTTTAGGCGCATCCTACAGCAAAAGCAATGGTCCGCAGAGAGCTTCCAAAGCATCAGAGGGATCTCATTGTTTCAAGGTATCAGTCAGGAGAAGGATACAAAAGAGTTTCCAAGGCATTCGATATTTATTTATTTATTTCAGGTACTTATAAAGCGCTGCCAATTTACGCAGCGCTTTACACATATATATTGACCATTCACATCAGTCCCTAACCCTCAAGGGGTGTACAATCAAAGGTCCCAACTTACATTCATACATACACATATTAGGGCCAATTTAGACAGGATCCAATTAACCTACCTGCATGTCTTTTGGAGAGTGGGAGGAAACCGGAGCAAACCCACGCACGCACAGGGAGAACATGCAAACTCCATGCAGGAGGCGCCATGGTCGGGAATTGAACCCATGACCCATTTACTGCAAGGCAGACATGCTAACCACTAAGCCACTGTGCTGCCCCTTGGAACATAGTGAAGACAGTCCTCATCAAGTGGAGAAAATATGGCGCAACAGTGACATTACCAAGAACTGGACGTCCCTCCAAAATTTATGAAAAGATGAGAGGAAAACTGGTCCGGGAGGCTGCCAAGAGGTCTACAGCAACATTAAAGGAGTTGCAGGAATATCTGGAAAATACTGGCAGTGTGGTACATGTGACAACAATCTTCCATATTCTTCATATGTCTGGGTTACAGGGTAGAGTGGCAAGACAGAAGCCTTTTCATACGAAGAAAAACATCCAAGCCCAGCTAAATTTTGCAAAAACACATCTGAAGTCTCCCAAAAGCATGTGGGAAAATGTGTTCTGGTCTGATGAAACCAAGGTTGAACTTTTTGGCCATGTTTGCCGCAAAAACAACTCCTCGCATCACCAAAAGAATGCCATACCCACAGTGAAGCATGGTGTTGGCAGCATCATGCTTTAGGGCTGTTTTTCTTCAGATAGAACTTGGGCTTTAGTCAAGGTAGAGGGAATTATGAACAGGTCCAAATACCAGTCAATATTGGCACAAAACCTTCAGGCTTCTGCTAGAAAGCTGAACATGAAGAGGAACTTCATCTTTCAGCATGACATTGACCTAAAGCATACATCCAAATCAACAGGAATGGCTTCACCAGAAGAAGATTAAGTTTTGGAATGGCCCAGCCAGAGCCCAGACCTGAATCAGATTTGAAAATCTGTGGGGTGATCTGAAGAGGGCTGTGCACAGGTGATGCCCTCGCAATCTGACAGATTTGGAGTGTTTTTGCAAGGAAGAGTGGTCAAATATTGCCAAGTCAAGATGTGTCATGCTGATAGACTCATACCCAAAAAGACTGAGTGCTGGAATCAAATCAAAAGGTGCTTCAACAAAGTATTAGTTTAAGGGTGTGCACACTTATGCAACCATATTGTTTTTGTTTTCTTTACTTCCATGCACCTAAAAGATTTCAGTTTGTTGTTCAATTGAGTTGTACAGTTTATAGATTACATTAAAGGTGGAAAAAGTTCTGAAATTATTTATCTTTGTCTCATTTTTTTTACATCACAGAAACCTGACATTTTAACGGGTGTGTAGAGGTTTTTATATTCACTGTATATATTTTTTG